CAGGGCTGATGGGAAGGCGGTGGGGGGGAGGGGGCGGTGGCTGGCCTGGGGGAGGGACTGCAGGAGGTTGGCTGTGGGAGTGCACTGACCACCAGGGGGCAGCGCCTGCATTCATGTCATAGCAGTCCTTGGGTTGTTTGGGCGTTCGGTCACTTAGGATTTTATATATATAGATTTGCAGACACATACACCCTTAGAAATCTACGATAGCAACTTACGGGTTTCCGCCACCATTAAATGGGGTTATATGATTTGCATTATGTAGCAACTTACTTTTTTCCCTAAACAATAAGTCTTAGAGATTGCCCATGTCAGCACCTTGATCTTTTTAACGGCTGTGTGCAAGTACAGTCATGTGTGGTTTAACAACAGGGTGCGTTCTGGGAAACGCCTCATTAGGCAATTCCGTCAGTGTGTGAACATCTTAGGGACGCTTACACACCCCTGGAGGGGACAGCCTGCTACTCCCCAGGCTGCATGGTAGAGCCTGGTCTCCCAGCTGTATGCCCGTGCAGCTGGTACTAAATACTGTAGGTGATACACCCTTTAGGCACTTACCATGAGGGGAGCCTGGGGACTGGAAGCCGCTGTGGGGGGCAGTGAGTGAGTGTGCAGGAGCGACACCCTGCCCACGACTGCAGGCTTCGGAAGCACTGTACACTCGGCTGAACTTATAAAGCAGCATGAGATTAAATCCAGCACGAGAGAAAATGCTGCAATCAAAAGATGCGGTGAACAGGAGGTGTACTTTTTATAAGTAGGAAGAGTGCACTCTAAAATAGCAATAAAAACTGTATATAGTAAACACATAAATGAGCAACATCGTCACTTATGGGCATCACCAAGCACTACGATGGCACAACAGCTGGTAGGAATTCTCAGCTCCATTGTAACCCTATGGGACCACTGTCACCGAACGTCACCGTGCACCAGTGTACGCCTCTCTGGGCCAGCTCCCCCGCGCACACCCAGAGGTGGTCAGACGACTGGGTGCCACGTCAGCGGGAACGGTTCATAACCAGTGGTGGCAGTACTCATTCCCACTGCCTTCACAGTGTCTGAGAGGACTCACTTCCCAGGCACCCATACACACCTGTTTTTCCTAACCTGATGTGTAAATGGTACACCTGTGACTCTCAGCGCAGGCAGGGCTTGCTTACCTGGAGTGAGCACTGTGACCTCAGGGAGCCACTATTTCTGTTGGGGACATTGCTACCCCAGGTTTGGGGGCAAGAAAAAGTTGACCAGTGGTAGTCAAAACATTCTTCCCTGTTGTTTGTAAACAAGGAAGTGGATATTCCAACAGCTAGTCAGCGCTGGGTGGGAACGGGAGCCAAGGGAACCATGTCTGAGTATAGGACTTTTTATACTGTGTTTTTATAAAATGCAGTTGCGTTAAACCCATGTGTTGCCAACAAGGCATGGCATGTGTCTTTTCTGGGTTTTGCAAAAAAGGTAAGTTTCATGCTGTACAATAACACTCCAATTGTAAGATTCTTTTCTCCTTGGCTGTTTTGGTTGTGCCACAGCCTGCAGCCAGGAGGTGATTTCTGTGGGTGCTCGTAATCTAGTGTGGGGCCCCTGTCTTTGGTGTTTTGGGGAACGTTTGAGTCCCCAGTTGAGAGAGGTGCCGTTGGAAAGCTGTGTGTCAGGCACAGGACAGGGCACCCGGAAGGCACGCTCAGAAAGAGCCTACTGGTTGTTGACACAGGTGGCCGCTGCCTTCCCTTTTGTAGCGTACAGAAATTCAGAAACCCCCTTAGCTGTAGACATGTCAGCTGCAGGGTTATTTGTAACAGGGAAAACCAGCGAAGAGCTCAAAGTCTACCTGTGGTGAGTCATAGGTGAATGGCCAAGTCAATAAACCATACCATGGATCCTTATACCGACTACCTTGTAAATTCACAGTCGTGTTTGTGTTAAAATTTCTAAATAATATGTTTGCTGTCTCTTGGAGTGAACTCAGAAGAACCTTTTTGGAAGAAAGCTTCAAATTGTAAATTTAAACGTGATGCAGCAATCACTTCTGAGGCTCACCCCTCTGAGACCTCGCACGTCCCCACACGAGGCTGTCCCTCCAGCACTGTCCGCATTAGGAAGTGCTGGAGAGGATCCCGCTGACCAACGAGCTGAGGGAGAAACGCCTCGAGGTGCATCTACACATTACACAGCTCACAGCCGCGGAGCGGGGTGAGGCCGACCTGCCTGTGTCCACGGGCCATGGAAAGGCATAGGTGCTGTTGAGTCGGACACAGGCAGCACATGTGCGCCTGCACAGAGCGCCCGCAGCGCTGTGGCCGTGGGGCGGGGGTGGGGGTAGAGAGCACGTCCGCTTCCTCCTCCGGGGTTCTGCCGTGCCTGCACTGTCTTACACAGACAACAGATGGCACATTTGGAGTCAGGACAAAACTCAAGATCACTAACGAAAAGCACCGAATCCCATGGACCCATGCTCCGGAATGCTGTAAATTACACTGACAGTGCCATTCCAGACTTATTTTAAAATGCATGGGCTGGCCAGGGTGGCTCAGTGTTTGAGCCTCGACCCATGCACCAGGGCGTTCAATTCCCAGTCAGGGCGCATGCCCGCCTCAGGCTCAGTCCCCAGGAGGGAGTGTGCAGGAGGAGCCAATCAATGTTGATGTTTCTCTCCCTCTCCTTCCTCTCTCTCTAAAAGTTTTCTTTTTTTGCTTTTTTAGTTGGTTTTATTTTTCTTCTTTTTCCCCAAGTATTTTTATTAAATGAGAATTAGCTTCCAAATTAAAAGAAAAAAATTACAGGCCTTATTTTTTGACTTTGGAAATGTTAGAAAGCCCAGCAAGGAGCCCTGAGCTGCGTGTATGTGTGCGTGTATGTGTGCGTGTGCGTGTGCGTGTGCACGTGTGTGTGTGCGTGTGCGGGGCAGG